CTAAGACTTCTTTGAGGAAATTGTTGTCCTACCTGAATCTAAATTCCTCTAAATATAAGATTTAGAAATTTGGAGAAACTGTATGAGGAGGGACCCAAAAAAACCTTGAAATTATCTTTTGGGGTGGAGGCTTGTAGTACAGGCTTTCTGTACTAGGTAAGTGTTCTAGGAACCCATTGGCAACAGTGTACCAGCTAGCATTGTGGGAGACTGTATTTGGCTTCAGAGAAATTTTTTTTTTTTTTCAGATTCTTTCAGCGTGTTTACCCGTTTTGTGATGGGTGATTTATGAGCACACTTACCCACACTACAGAGTGTTCAGCAGCTTTTGAACAAAAACAGCATGAACCCCATCCTCCCTATTAATCTGATTTCACCCTGAGCGACTTTTGTTCCCCAGATGAAAAAAGTCCTCAAAGGGAAATGTTTTACTAATGTGGAAGAGGTGAAACAAAAAGACAGAAGCACTAAAAGGCATCAAAATTGATGAGTTCAAAAACTGTTTTGAGCTGTGGAAAAAGCTTCTCCATAGGTGTTTTGCATCAAACGAAGAGCACTTAGAAGGTGACTGAAGTTTAAACATGTAAGGAGAAATACACAATTTTTTATAAATAAATTCCAGGGTTTTTTTTGGGTCCCCCCCTTGTATATGATAGAGGGTTTATTCATCTAGTTAATCTTTTGAGACAGGAGTGTTAAGGTTTTAAATTCCAGTAGCCACTGCCATTTTTTTTTTTTTGGCTAGAGTATTTCTTGAGACATGGGCTAATTTTACTCATAACACCTAGCATTGTACCTGACACACAACAGTGTTCATTTAAAGCCTATTTTACAACTAAGTGAATTCCTACGTTTTCCTTGTGTTATAAGATGTCTTTAACTTAACTTAACTGTCAGAGAGAACCAGAAAATAGAATAATAGCTTCACTGCCTGGGAACACACATCAAAGGAACAACTGTGTTTGTCCCTTTTTTACTATTCATGTTCAATTTTTGAATTATATTATTTTCATCCATTGCTTATTTATTATTTCCTCAATATTGAACTCAACATAATTCACTTTTTTCTTAACCAGGGATTCCTCTCACAAATATTTTATTTTTCCTAAAGAATCATTTTATTATAATACTTGAAAGCAGCAAGTATCTGTTTTCACCAAGGGTGAATAACAGAGAATGTTTGCTAAGTGTTTAAAAAAATGTGTTCACTGTGGACAATTTGTCCAAGTCTTCCATACTTCACAAAAACCTAGTTGGTTATCATTCTAACTACATGATTTTATAACTTGCTTCTTTTGCTTAGTAAATGTTTTCTCATGGAATTAAAAATTCTGCGTGAATAACGTTAAATTCAAGTTGAGTTAAAATGCCTCAGAGGACCCTGATACAAATGCAGAACATTGGGAGGATTGGCTACCCTTCCCACGCATATGGGGGTACTAGCTGCCTCAAGGGTGTCATGTGAAAATTTGGTTTAAAAATGAAAATTATCTAAATGACAGTTATGTTAAAATATATTTTGGTTTGGCCTTTATTAAATATAATCTTTTGGCCAGGTGCAATGGTTCACATCTGTAATCCCAGCACTTTGAGTGGCTGAGAGGGGAGAATTGCTTGACACAGTAGTTCGAGACCAGCCCAGGTGGTATGGCGAGATTTTGTCCCTACAAAAAATTAAAAAATTAGCAGGGCATGATGGTGTGTACCTGTAGCCCCAGCTACTTGGGATACTGAGGTGGAAGGATCGCTTGAGCCAAGGAGGTTGAGGCTGCGGTGAACCATGATAGTACCTCTGCACTCTAGCCTGGGAGACAAAGTGAGACCTCCCACTCAGAAAAAAATAAAAATAATCTTTTTTTTTTTTAGTATGAATATCCAATTGTTCCAGCACTATTTATTCAAAAGAAAAAATAATCTTTTAAAAACAATTTGTCGTAAGAATAGTCTGACAAGGCTTAGTGCTAACTAGATAAATCCTGACATGTTAAAATATATTTTAACATAACTGTCATTTAAATAATTTCCATTTTTAAACCAAATTTTCACATCATACCCTTGAGGCAGTTAGTACCCCCATATGTGTGAGGAGGGCAGCCAGTCCTTCTGATGTTCTGAATTTGTATCAGGATCCTCTTAAGTATTTTTTTTTTTTGAGTTGGAGTCTCACTCTGTCGCCCAGACTGGAGTGCAGTGGCCGCTCCCGGCCACCGCAGCCTCGACCTGCTGGGCTCCGGCGATCCTTCCGCCTCAGCCTTCCAAGTAGCCGGAATTACAGGCATGCGCTACCACGCCCGGCTGATTTTTTGATTTATTGTAGAGATGAGGTCTCGCTGCCCAGGCGGGTCTCGAACCCGCGGCCTCAGGCAATCCACTCACCTCAGCCTCCCAAAGGCGCAGGATTACAGGCTGAGCCACCGAGCCCGGCTCTCTTAAGTATTTTAACCCGTAATGGCTGTTCTAAAGATGAAAAACACGAGCTAACCTGAGCCTACACAAAATGCCTCATTCTTTATGCCCAAGCGTCAGACTGTTGAAATTTATGTTCCTAAATAAAATAGCAGTTTTTTCAAAGATTTAGAGAAGGGAAAAGGACACAAATAAAACAAAAAATGACAACTACACTTTAAAAATGGTCCTTTGTCTTGCTTTTTGCATTTAGGGAAACTACGCAGGGACATAACCTGCTTTGGGTGACGGGGAGAGGGAAGGAGGGAGGGGGCAGAACAAGAAAATCTGATTGATGACATTAAGTATAGAAATGACCCTTGGCCACTTGGACTTGTGCTCCCAGGGATATAAACAGGTGGACCGTAAGTTCAAGCCTTGACGAACCACCTAAGCCGGCGCCAATTTCCTCCTCCCTTCTGGATCAGAGGCAGTTTCCTTTGAAAAGAGGTGGACCTCTAACTCTTACAGGCTAGCTTTCTTGACAATGTCCTGGAGCGCCAGCTGGTCCGAATCTCATGCTTCCCCTCTTACTAGGGGGAAAAAGGAATGCACCACCTCCATCGGCCTCAGGTGCAGTTGAGGCACCTGGAAAACCCCGGATGTGAAACGGGGCCCAACTGACTGGAACCTTGGGGTGGGGGTGGGGGATCCAGGGGTAAGAGGGAGGCCATTGCCCCTCTCCCCTTTTATTTTTGGTGTCAGAAAAAGGAGGCGGACATCATTGGCTTGCAGTGCGTGCACAGAGAAAATCTACAGCCTCTCCAGATTGAAGATGCCACCCGAGAAGGTGGACACGAGTTGGCAGTAGCCTCATGGCCAGCCCTGTCCCCGAAGGACCAACAAGCCACTCCGCGAAGAGGCCTGTGGGTGCCGCCACTGTGCCCTCGAACGCGAGCAAGCCTGGAACACGCAGGCCAGACGTGGGGGCGGGACGCCACCAGCTGTCTGAGCACTGATTGGCTGGTGGGGCGCGTCTCTTTGTGCCATTTGTTGTTGGGCAGCGTGCCTGACGCCGTGGGCGTCCTTCACGTGCAGCCGTTTAAGCGGCGTCAGCGGCTGCGAGGGCCACAGGGGGAGCAAGCAGCGAGAGGTGAGTGGGCCGTCCCTGTGGGGCGCTGGTGTGGGCTCGGTCGTCTTGGCTTCTCGGGGGCCGGGCTGTGGTCAAGGAAGCGTGGAGGGCGTGGGTGAAGGTTTGAAGCAGTCTTTTGGAGACTTTCTGCTTTTTGCCCACGCATCTTCAAATCCCACGAGTGCCGGTAGTCTGGGTTTGAGGCCTGCGGACGAAGGGAGAAGCGAGGGAGTCTTCTTTCCGGCCCTAGCCCACCGTTTTCTCGGAACAAAGAGGGTTGTAGTATCCTTTGTGTACAGATGCTCCGTGATGAAAATGGTTCCCCTTTGTGGCAGAAATTTGGGTCACTCAACTCTTCTCCCCCTGCCACCAAACTCCAAGGCCTCCCTTTCCCCCCGGTCTCACCTCCTATCCTCCACCCCGACCACACACAGAAAAGCAAAATTAAAAAACAAAACAAAACAAAACCCAAATGGATGGGCTCAGTGACTGTCGCCTGTGATTTCAGTACTTTGGAAGGCAGAGGCAGGAGGCGCTCTTGAAGCCAGGAGTTCAGGGCCAGCCCGGGCAACATGGCAAACCTCTGTCTAAACGAAACAAAACAAAAAAACCCGAAAATTCGCTAGGCGAGGACGGGGTGTGGTGGCTCACGCCTGTACAACCAGCGCTTTGGGAGACTGAGGTGGGATTGCTCGAGCCCAGGAGTTCTAGACTAGCTTGGCCACATAGTGAGACCTCGTCTCTACAAAAAAAAAAAAACCAAGTCCAATAATTAGCCGGGCATGGTGGTCCGCGTCTGTGTTCCCAGCTACATGGGATGCTGAGGTGGAAGGATTGCCCGAACCTAGGAGTTGGAGACTGCACTCCAGCCTGAGTCAGAGTAAGGCTCTGACTCAAAAAAAGAAAAAACAAACATTAGCTAGTGGTAGAGGCCGAGGCTGGCGGATTGACTGAACCCAGGAGTTTGAGGTTACAGTGAGCTAGGATTGAGCCGCTGCACTCCAGCCTGGGCGACAGAGTCAGATCCTGACTTTAAAAACAAACAAACAAATAAACAAACAAAAAACCCCAAACCAAACATCCTATCCACCTTCGAAGGGAATCATGTGAAGGGAGAGTCCTTGAGTAGTTTCTCAAAAAATTTTGTTCGCCTTGATGTTCAATAAGCCATCTGGAGACCCTTCCAGGGAAGAGACACATTTTATGAACAGATTTTGGGGAAAAGCCTAAGCATCACTGGGGATATGACGATTGCTAAAATAATTAGCTAAGGAGTTGAACTAATTTTTAAAGATAAAAAGGATGGATATAAATGCTGTCTTTAGATAAGATGCAAAATCTTACTCCTTTTGCAAAAACTTTTGGGGAAAATTAACACTTGTGTAGTTTCAAGAGGTATGTGAAAGAAACAGTGATCGTTTGTAAAGGTCTGCTTCTGATCTAATTGAGACCAAATGTGCTTTTTTTAAAAATATAAAACTTGAAGCCATCATGGGAGATGAAGATTGGGAAGCAGAAATCATTAAACCTCATGTGTCTTCTTATGATGCTGCATTTGAGAAGGTAATACAATATAAAGTTTGCAGTTATTAAATGTTGCAGATTTTGTTAAAGTTGGAAATTACTATAATGGGAAGGTTCTAAATTATACTGTCTGTTTCAATGCTTATATCTATGTGATTGTTATTAACAATTTTTTTTTTTTTTTTT